GTCCCCTCCTCTCCCCCGTAACTAAAGAGTATAAGGTGATGTTACACGGGTGCAACACAGCGTTGCAATGTTGGAACAATGTTGTAACAATTCGAAACAACGTCGCAACAATGTTGCAACGCTCTGTTGCGCTAGAAATCGTCGTGTGCGAATTGTCTCATGTAACATCGCCTATAAGCAACGACGACGGCGACGTCAACGAGAACGACAAAAAAGCAACAGGTTTAGATTAGCAAAACAACGACTCTGCACCTGCATCATGCTTTTTTGTTCATTGCTTTACCGTCCCTGCACGACTACGACGTGAAAATATATACCTGATTTCACGTTTTGTGGAGGACGTGGCGGAACACAGGGCAACAAATTTCTTTTCCTTTTGTTGAACTTCGATATTATCTTTTAGAATTCAACTCCAGAAAAAAATGGCAAAATTTGACGAATTGAACGAGATGGGATAAGCGCGATAAAGTTTGAAGCAGCGCGAATTCAAATTTTAAGTGATGTTTTCATAACCATCGCCGTCGTCGTTGCTTAAGTTCCTTATTTTCTTAAATAGTAGGGATGATAATGGTAATAACTGTTTCTATTTCCACATTATTGATAATTCTGTGTGTAAACTGTTTAATTGCACTAAGGTACGATGCCAGTAAAACGTAATTACCGAAAAAAAAAGAAAGAAAGAAAGCCCCGGGTGCTTACTCGAGGAAAATGCGGTATTCGCTGTTTCTGCTATGTTTTTAGGCCGAAGTTCGGCTTGTTTTCTCCGCAAGACGTGTCAAAATTTGCCTCCTTTTTTCAAGTTCTTCCAAACACATCTGAGCTAACACAACCTCGTTTTCAGGGTAACCTGGTTGCCGTGCCTTTTTCTTGCCATTAGTCCTACATTATTGACGTCATTTTACTAGACATCGCAAACGTCCTCCTAATTTAGTCAGCACTAGCTAGCTTGCCAGTCATAAACGGAGATCTTCATATTAATAATAAGAATTGGCGTAGCACAGCACTATTTTTAGCCTGCAAGCAAGCTCTTCATTTAGGGTAATCGCGAAAAGTCACCTGAGAGCCGCACGCGAAAGGAGACGCTCCCTCGAGTGTGCTCTCGCGGATCGCTTCTGAGCTTGCTCGCAGGCTACACCGTTTTGCTCGGCTGATAACTTCATAGTAATTTCGCTCATCAGATAATAACCTTGCTCAAGTTTCACTGAAAATTTGCAACTAAATCTGAAAAATTCTCATATTAATAATTTCACAGATTCTTAGTATCAGTCCGGCACAGTCGCTCTTGTCCTATTTCCTTGGGGGAGTGCATAGTCTCATAAATTGAAACAACGCTGGATGCTTCGTAATACATGATACACGTATCTACACCATTGTTTGTTTTTTCAAAATGAGTGATTTTAATCAGCACAAGATTACAACTGTGTCAATTTTATGAACATTTATAATAATGAAACCTATAGGTACAAAGTACTTTCTAAAAATTAGCTTTGAACATGGCACCATTGCTTTTCGAACGGCGAATGCGTCTTTCGTCTTGCTGAGTAAGAAACTGATGTCTTTCCTCTGAATTTCCGTACCGTTTGTCTTGCAGAGACTAAAGAAAAAAAAACATAAGGCTGACTATGTACGTTGTGGTTCAATTTTATCCTTGGTTTAAATTTTATTTTCTTTTGTTTTAAACTCACTATCATACATTGCCATACCCAAAAACAAAGGGAAATGAATATGAATCGTGAACATGAATCTAAATGATTCAGATGTGATGGTGATTTTTCAGCCTTGTGGTACATACATGAGAAGGATTTTTTTTTTGAGTGACATAGGCGGCTCAGAATAAAAAAAAAACATAAATCCGACCGGTGCAACAATTTAACCGAGATCTAGGCGAGATTTGTAATGGCGAAAAGATCTCGCCGAGACCTCTCCGAGACTGATTTGTAATGTCGCAGTGAGATCTCGGACGAGATAACCGAGATAACCGCTGAGATAAAAGAGATCTCAGTAATTCCAACAAAAGTCGAACCTATATGAACTTTTGGTTTCTGTTCCAGATGTTAACCAGGGTGTACTCGTATTTTTTTTTTCTTCCGAGCCCGGCCTGTTCATAGACTGAAAAATTCTCATCGACCAAAAACTTTTTATAAAATATTTAGTTTTTTACCCTCAAGGGTCCAACTCTTCTCACTTTGCCATTAGTACTTGGCCACGGAGCGGCGGCGTCTACATCTTGATAACTTACAAGCAGTACAACTAGCAAAGCACATGAGAGAAAAACCAGCGAAGACGAGATTTTCTTCATAGCGACGAACAAAAGGATGACAGCTAAGTGTGAACGGTTCCTGTATGTACTGCATAGAGTCTGTAACTTGACGCCTTTTGTACCCTTCTAGTTGGGACGCAATTTTAGCTTACTCTCTATAATCGCCTTGTTAACTGACACGTATCTTTTTCTCTTTTAATGGGTTTTTAATACCTGCAAGAGATGCATATAAATTTTTGTAATTGGTCATGCGATCCCGCGGTGTAAAGTCAATTATTCTAATGGCAATTGATTTTCTGTTTTCCTATCTCTCTCTTTTAACTATTAGAGAAGGCTTGTTGATGGTGATCATTATCCATTTCGTATCCTAGCAAATCTAAAGATAAGGCAATAAGGAGGTATATGACTCGGGCATGTCTTAAAAGTGGAACCACTCATTCGTTATTATTGACAAAGGCGTCAGCGATTAAAGATTTTTCACATGACGTCACCAAAATTCAAACTAAGGAACTACCGATTCTTCTGAGTTTCTACTTTCATGAGGTATTACGACAGCTAAAGACCTTTATTTATACAAATTTTTGGTTCCATAGGGTTTTTCGTTTTGCCATAGAAGACACATGAATTTCCAGGTTTTTGCGTACGTGACGTGCCAAGTAGCTGGCGGCCGGGAAAGCTCTTATGTGGGTTATAACCTTTAGTGATTGTTTGATATTTTGCTATGATCTAAATTCCCCTTGTCTTAGAATAAATATCACTTAAATCTTTATGCGCTCCCCGAGCAAAAAATTCCCACATAATTAGGAAAACTTAAAAACAGATGTTTCTATTGGTTTCTAGCGGACATATTTGTGCCCTTCAAAGGGACACCAATTCAAATTCCATTCAAATTTGGCTAAAGCGCCTTTCCGAATACTTCGCATATGAATTATCGCACAGACCTGGTTCTTGGCGAGGCTTTTGGTATATTTATTTTCTTATGGTTCCTAGATTCTGAACTTTCTGTACTGACTGGCTTGCACTTTCATTTTTGATGGCGTGACAGTAAAAACACAGAATTGTGCGAAAAAAAAAACAACAACAGCGACAACAACACTGTAAAAAACTGTAAAAACAAGTCAAAATGGCTTCTAATCTTGTGATTACAATAGCAATCCTTTTGGCTGTTGGCGGCAACGTGTCTAAATGTGCGATCGTTTCAATCGTGATGATAAACGCTAAACGAGTTCCAACGATTGCGTGGTGGCCTTTTGTAAAGCTCTGACTGGCACCTGCTCCTTTTCTCATCTTGTTTTTTTTCATCAATTATATGAAAGATGTGAACATCTGGAGCTTTGTGGTAAATATAGCGTGTAACCTTAATTTTTAGAACACGATATTGGTTGAACGGCCACATACTAATGATCCAAGCATGGTTTTTTTTTTTCTATCACGATTTCCTCGATTTTTACGACTAAAATTGAACACATTAGTCATTTATATAATTTTAAAATGGCGGATCCAAGATGGCGGACTGTTCTATATCCTTCTTTGATAGGAAATGACGTCATCACGACATCACTTCTATTGTTAATGGTAATTATGTGTTAGCCAACTTCTCAGTGATTCTTGCAAATTGATGGAACTTGGATTCTGCCAATAAATTCAACAAAGTAACGATGATGAGTTCATTATTCTGAGTAAGTCTGTTGGCCGTGTCGATGAGCGGTTTTGAAGTTAAAGAGGGGGCCTCCTAACCTCCGAAGCCGGTCATTTCGGCATTTTAGTAACTTCCTTTCAAAGGTCCTGGAAGGAAAACAAGCCTTCAAAAAAAGAGTTTCTAGGGCGCTAAAACGATGGTGATTATGGTAAAAGACAATTAAAAGTTGATTTAGAAATCAGCTGCTTAATGTGTTATTTCAAAAACGTGCCTACCTTCCGAAAAGGTTAGCAATTACAAAACGCGTTTCTCCAGTGTTTAAGTCTTTTATGAAAATTTTACAAGGCTGAAGTTTAGTGTGATTATAGTCATCAGTCTGTCAGTGAGTGTTTATTTTTGAAACCACCAGAACATAAATGTTTAATGATACACGCGTTGTAGTGTTAACCTGCCGAATATAAAATTTAAGTATTTAAAAACTTTACAGAGATACTCCCCCACGAGATGTAGACCTTTTTCTATGATGATCATCACAATAAAATATTTTTTTATATATTATAGTCGATACTTTTCTGTGGGGCTATTTACCTAACTGTTAGGAAAGAGATTTATTTATCTTGAAACATTTCTTCAAAGTTCCGGTTTTTATTTCCATGCTGTCAGGCGATTCGCCTCTGAAAGCCCCGCGGCAACTAATTTCGGGTTTAAATTAGCTGTGGCGTCTTAGAAATAAACAAATATAGTTTAGGCGCCATTGAAATTAACCAAGCAAATTGCTTTTCTCTGTGTCATAGAGAGCACAATTTTATGAAAGTATAATTGGTCGTTTTCGACAAAAATGACATACAGCCTAAGAAGGTCCACGAGTCGCTAAACATAGAGGGTATCCTGTGTGCCGAAACTGTTGCTGGCGTTTGAAAAAGCTGAATTTCAAGCTCTCACTAAGTAGCTACTTACTAACAGGCTGAAACTTTATTTCGACTTTTCTTCGTGCTAACACCCTAGCTCCTAAGGCTGAATAATTCTTCATAATTTTTTATACGGAAGCCGAATTGAAACATTTCATACTTAGAAAAAAATGCTGAACTCTTTCTTTAATTGTTTGTCTGTTCCACGGCAATTTCAGGATATAAGGAAATGTTTAGTTCAACAGATGTTCTTAAATAGCAAAGGTCATCCTTCGAGTGAAATTGTGTTTGCTATTCTTGCCATTTTTAAGGCAGTAATTTGGCTATTTCTTCTTCAAAAAGGTGCCAAATCCCCTGCCATTTTCTTCGCCCTACGAAAACAGCTGAGCTACTGCGCGTTCTACTGTTCCTTTCTATAAACATAGTTAACTGTAAAAGTTATTCATCTTTGGGGATATCGGTAGACATCATCCAAATTAGGCGAGCGGAAGCTGGTCAATCCAATCAGAATTGGAGCATTATTTTGAATGAATAACTATTATTATAATAGCTTTTACCATTTACCCCTAGTCTGACGTTTAATAATTAATTTCAAATTATAAAAAGCATCAGAAAAGTTAAATATTGCATTCTTGATTGACAATAAGAAAGCTCTAATATGTTTTATCAAAGAGCTTCGTCACACTATTTGCTATTATTTTTTGAAAAAGCAAAAACAAACCAAAATAATTATAATTATGGCTAGCGCTCCCTTCTGAAAGTTGTCTGACATCTGGTTCATATTTCTACGGATCATTTTACGTTTCTGGGAAACTGCCCACCTACCCCTCCCCTAAACCAACATTTCGCCCTAAGTGAGAAGTAAGTGTTAATGTTGTCTTAGGGGAGGGGTAGGAGGGCAGTTTCCAAGAAGCTTCAAATGATCCAATTCTACAGGAACATTTTGAGTATGGGAAAAGGCACTAAGTAATGACTTAAGCACAGAATTGACCTAAAACAGCAATAATTCTCGAGTCAGTGTCCGTTTTACTGTAGAAAGACATAAAAATCTTAACGTTAACAAGCCTACAAATAGACACAATTCTTATTTAGGCTTTCACCGCTCGGATAATAAAGACATTGACGCCAATAAAACGTTTTCACGTCTTTGTCTTTGTCTTTGTTGTTTCTTATTATTACTTTTTCACCATTTATTTAAGGATTATTGAATGAGCTTGAGTATGGTAACAAGAAATTATGCAGACCGACTAAGGTGTCATGCGTAATGGTCACAAATTTATGAAGGGAGATTTGCATGAAGATGGAAACCGACGCCACCTTTCCCTCTTATCTGTGCTGCAACTGAAACAAGGTAAATCTCATTTTCTCTCTCGCGCGCGCACGCGTGAGCCCCTTAACATCTCAGTGAAGCCTCAAATGTATACACGAAGCCCTTTCATCCTATCTCATTCAGGTTTATTGTAGCCTTGTGCGGCCCATTTTAGAATATGCATCTCCGGTGTGGGCCGCGTTACCCAACAGTCTGGTTCAATTGGTGGAAACCGTGCGGAAGTCTGCACTAAGAATTATTTTTCCAGATTGCTCTTATGAGTCGGCACTCGTGCGCTGTGGCTTGCCTACACTTTTTTCGCGCCGTGATGAGGCTTGCAGGCGTTTTATATCTAAGATCAAGGAGTCCGGGTTCCTTTCACACCTGCTGCCGCAGCCCGCGAATGTCGCTCATGGGTACGGGTTGAGGTCAGGTTTTTCTGGTTCTGAATTCCGCTTTGTCAGAACGGACCGCCTTAGTAATTTTGTTACCCACTGTTACAATAGGATTTAATTTTTTTTGCCTTCTATGCCATGTGTAATTATGTGTTCTACGTATTCTTGACCTCCCTTGTAATTTAGTGTTATACACTACCAAAAGGGTTTAATAAACTGATTATTATTATGATTATTATTATCTAGCCTACAACTGAAGCATCCACTTCATAACGGAACGTAGGCCACTCTCATTTTCTGTCGTGGACTCACGTTGACCTACTATACACTTCAGTGAAGCCACAAATGTACAACAGTAAATTCAAAGATTTTAAATAAAGCTCACGTCTACCATTTAAAGGCCTTTCAAATAATGAATTTCTGCATTTGGCAGAAAGTAGTTTTTGCCATTTGCCAGCAAGACTTTGGGAAAACTGCTACGTGCATAGACGTTTCTTCGTATTGCTGGTTTTCAGTGTCACGCCATTAAAAATAGATCAAAATAAAAATCAAAACCGTTCAATAGATAAAGTCCAGAGTCTGGGAAATAAAAGGAGGTACATATACAAAGACCTACGCCAGGATTCAGGTCAGAGGAATATTTCGTATACGAGATATCCGAAGAAATGTTTTACCCAAACTTATAGAGATTTGTATGGAGACGCCATGCTGGTGCTCACCTAGCCTCCCACGCAGGCGTTTTTAGGGGAGCTCGTTTTTCAACGAGCTCCCCTAAAAACGCCTGCGTCGTTGCATCGACGTGTGTCGTAGCGAGGAAGTTGCTGAACGGCAAATGAAGTCGTTATCTGGGCCGGTGGATAACATTAATCAAGTAAAGTCAAGTTCTAAAAAGCCTCGAGCTCCAACGCCGGTGGACGGGCTGTTGGCAAAGAAAATTTCCTGCAAATTTTGTGGCTATGACCATCAACCTGATAGGAAGATGTGCCCCGCATGGGGAAAGAAGTGCAAGCGATGCAAGGAAAAGGATCATTTTGCCAAGAAGTGTAAGAAAGTTCCTGTCCATTATATTGAGAGCGAAGAGGAGTTAGAGGAGATCAGCGTTGTAAGAGTACAGGCTTTGAGAGGGAGTGCTGTGTATGCGAGAATGCTGGTTAGGCAGCAACCGGTGAAATTTCAAGTTGATTGTGGTGCAAGTGCAAATATTTTACCTCTGAAGTATGCTGAGGGTGAGGAACTCGACTCGTGTTCGCAAACGCTTGTCATGTGGAATGGAACTAAAGTGACGCCTGTCGGTTCCTGTGCGTTGCCTGTTGTGAATCCGAAAACTAATGAGAAGTACAAGGTCCGGTTTCTAGTCGTGAAAGAGGATTTGACCCCTCTGCTTGGCTTAAATGCAACGCAGAAAATGAAGCTGTTAACTGTACACAAGGAAAACTTCATTAATGTCGTGGAGAATGCAAATGATGATCTCACAGCTAATTACGCGGAAGTCTTTAACAAAGGTCTCGGAACACTTCCAGAAAAAGTTCGCCTGCAAGTTGACCCAGATTGCAAGCCTGTTATCCTTCCAGCAAGAAAAGTCCCTGTGTCTGTTCGGGAGAAGTTCAAAGAAAAGCTCCAAAGGTTGGAACGTCTTAAAGTAATCACTCCTGTTGACGCACCGACCGAGTGGGTTAGTCAGATTGTTGTAGCTGTAAAGAAGTCCCGCGAACTGCGTGTTTGTATTGACCCGCGACCACTTAATACTGTCTTGAAGAGGGAACGTTATCAAATTCTTGTCATTGATGATTTGTTGCCCGACTTGACAGATGCACGTGTGATTACAAAGTTTAATTTAGCCTCTGCTTTTTGGGATCTGGAGTTAGATCGCGAGTTTAGTATGCTCACGACATTTGCTATGCCATACTGGGCGATATCGTTGGCTCCGTTTGCCGTTTGGTCTCAGTGTTTCGAGTGAAATTTTTCAGAAACGTCTCCATCAAGAGTTACAAGGTCTCCTGGGTGTAAAGTGTATTGCAGATGATATTCTCATCCATGGCAAGTGCGGGCTGATCATGACAGCAATCTAGATGGATTCATGCGCAGATGTCAGCAGAAAGGTATCAAGCTCAATGCCGAGAAGTTAGAGTACAAGTGTAAAGAGGTTCCATTTCATAGGCACCTGCTAACCACAGAGGGTCTAAAGCCAGATCCAGAGAAAGTGAGAGCAATCGTCGAGATGCCACGCCCAAAGGACCGAGGTGATATTTTACGCCTGAATGGAATGGTCAATTATCTTAGCCGTTTTCTACCCCACTTATCTGATGTGATGAAGCCTCTACGAGATCTTACCCATAAAGATGCAGCATGGTGTTGGGATGATTTGCAAGAGAAGGCTTGGAATGATGTCAAGACATTGATTGCATCAGCACCCGTTCTAGCCTACTTCAAGCCCACTGAAGTGCATGAGATCCAGTGTGATAGCAGCCAGAGTGGTTTAGGTGCAGCTTTAATGCAGAATGGTCACCCAATCGCGTACGCTAGTAGAGCCTTAACAGAGACGGAATCTCGCTATGCGCAGATTGAAAAGGAGATGTTGGCAATCGTGTTTTCAGTAGAGAAGTTTAATGACTTTACCTTCGGTAGAAGAACTGTTGTCCACACTGATCATAAGCCACTTGAGTCAATTTTCATGAAACCACTTCATCGCGCTCCTAAGAGGTTGCAAGGAATGTTGACCCGTTTGCAAAAGTACGATTTGGTGGTACAGTACGAGAGGGGAAGCAGAATGTTCTTAGCGGACACTCAGTCTCTAGAGCTTATCTTCCCTCGGGTGCGCAGATTGAGTCAGAATTTGAGACAATCAACATGATGAATTACTAGCCAATATCTGAAGCCAGGCTACTCCAAATTCAGTGGGAGACAGAGCAGGATGGATCGCTTCAAGTTCTAAAGGCAGTGATTCAGCATGGCTGGCCTGAAAATAAGAGTACCCTGCCGCTTCTAGCCTCTCCTTACTTCGATATGAGAGATGAGCTGTCCGTTCAGGATGGTCTGATTTTTAAGGGAGAAAGAGTAGTGGTACCCAAGGCTGCTAGGAGTGGTCTCCTAAAAAGTATTCACAATTCGCACCTTGGAGTTAATGGTTGCCTTAACATAGCGCGTGAGTGTCTTTATTGGCCTGGGATGACAGGAGATATCAAGAACTGTGTGTCAACATGTGAAGCCTGCAGAGAGTACGAACAGGGTCAAAGGAAGGAAACACTCATCAGCCACGAAGCACCTAGTCGGCCGTGGCAGTTCGTTGCAGCAGACCTATTTGAGCTAAATGGGAAAAGTTACCTTGTGACTGTGGACTATTTTAGCGATTTCTTCGAGCTTGACCATCTGAGAAGTACATCCTCTGTCTACGTCATCAAGAAGCTTAAAGGTCATTTCGCGAGACATGGCATTCCCGAGCAACTCGTTACTGATAACGGGCCACAGTTCGTCTCGCGCGTTTGCCTGAAATTCTCTAAAGAGTGGGATTTTAAGCACAGAACCAGCAGTCCGTATCATAGCCAGTCGAATGGAAAGGCTGAGAGTGCCGTTAAGCAAGCGAAGAAAATTCTGTTAAAGTGCAGCAAGACTGGTTCAGACGCGTTTCTCGCTTTACTGGACCAGAGAAACACACCGCCTGCGAGTATGCAAATCAGCCCAGCATAGCGGCTATTTAGCAGAAGGACAAGAAGTCTCCTCCCTCTCCCTATGACTGCTGCATTATTAAAGCCATCTGTTTCAGACGAGGACGTGACACATACCAAGCTTCATCGCCGCCAACAGCAACAAGCCAAGTACTACAACAGAGGCGCACGAGACCTCCAGCCCTTAGAGCCCAGAGATACAGTGCGAGTTCAGCCCTGGCGCGCGGGAAGAAAGAGTGGAAAAAGGGTGTCGTAAAGAGTCGCATCGACAAAAGATCTTAGGAGGTTGAGTTGCCTCAAGGACTCCTTCGACGAAATCGTGTTGAGCTACGCAAGTCCAATGAAGCGCCTATCAAAGTTGAAGATGACGACGTCATAGAGGCGCGCGAGCAGTCATCCACAGAGACACGCGAAGATACACGCGCACAGGCACCTTCAGATACACGCGTGGAAACATTCGACCAGCCGCGCGATCCGTTGACTTCAGTGCCGGACGCACCTAAGTCGCCCAATCCTTTACAGGCACCGAGAAGGTCCACGCGCGTCCGTCAGCCGCCCAAGCGTCTACAGGACTATGTGCTTACTTAAGCCTAAGAACTCTTTCCAAAGAACTGAACTTCATTAAAATGCGCTTAGTCGGTTGTTGTTGTTGTTTTTTCTTACGTTAAGTTGTTTTCTTATTTCTCTATAAAAGGGAAGGTGTTATAATATTGAAATTTTCACGCCCTGTGTTGAATTTCATTTGCACGTGCTCCTAGACTCATTATATATTCAGTTTCGTTTGTACCTTCGGGGCACTTGATAGAGATTAAAATGTCTGTTCAGTAACCACTTGAACGTGTGGTTTGCTGTGTTATTACAGCTGCCAGAAATGAAACATATAGTTGTTTTACGCAATTTCTTTTCTCTCGTCTGTTGTTTTGATATCAAGGTACTGCTTGCAAAGAAGACATCATAAAAGCTCGTTCGTGGAATTATGCACTGCGCTAACTAAAGGCAATCGCTTCATGCTTCAAAATTTTAGTTTCTTTTTCGTGGATTAATCGATCATAAAGCTGTAAAATCCTGGCGTCTAAATAATTTAGGGCAAACCCCATTACGTGGCTTCTGTGACACTCAGTTATTGGAAAAGATTTGCATGAGTTAATTTAGTCAGGAAACTGATAAAACTGCACTCATAAAGTTTTATCTACTGGCAATCTAGCACACTCTAGTCTAAACGGTACGGTTTCATCGCCATGAAGAAGTTCGCTACATTTCAGGTTTACTTTTGTCTTATTCTCACGGTAGTTTTGCTGTTGAACAGCTATGAAAACGCAGAAGCATTTGCAGTGCGCTCGAGGACAGCTGGTCGAAAAACGAGGAGGGGAAGTCGTAGAGAGTTATACAAGAACTCAGAGGTGAAGCTGTTCTTTGGTTTTCATAGCTGAATCAATTTTTTTAAAGATATTTAGAAATTATTGAATAAGCCTGAGTATAATATGTAGTAATATCTAAGAGGGTTTTGGCTTTCGGCCTCGACAGGTAACAACCTCTGATTCCGTCTGTTAGGATCATTCTGATTAGACTTAACAGGAAGTTCTTTTACAAGAAACATTCAAGCACGCGCTCGATAGCGCATAATGTCTTATATTGCTGCAATCTGGGCTGCTAACATAGTCAATCAGATTTGAGAATTTTGTCGTAGTTATGATGAAAATCATTTTTCTCACTGCTTCTTGTTCTTCTTCTTCTTCTTCAGATTCTTCGTTCCAGAAGAGACATTTGTGAGGCAGCGCGTTCATTGAACTGCGAAGACGATTCGAGTCCGTGAAATGAGGAAATGCCACCGATCAGGCTACTAATGCACAGTTCAAACAACAGCTTAGTTTTCAAGATGCTTCTGGAAGCTCCTTAGTATAAATGGGCTGAAGTCCCTGTTAGACATTCAAGTATTTCATACTAAAGTTGGACAGTAGAACTTTTAGGTGGTTTTATCGGGCGAAGGAGGGTCTGAATAGGGGTACCTCGATAACACCAATCACTTCGTTTTTTGGCTTTGTGACTTGAAACAGCTAAATTTTAGGCATGTTAACACTAAGAGTAAAAACTTCTTTGAAACCGTAAATTTTTTTTAGAAGCAAAAACGGCTCAAAAAAGGGCAATATTATTATTATTGTTTAGCATTAATTATTATTATTATTATTATTGTTTAGCATATATCAAGGAGTTTTTGGTCATTTTACGACAATTCCGGATCATTTCAGAAGATTTGCAAATGCTACCGAAGATTCCCGAAGACTATCGAAGATTTCCGAAGACTAATGAAGAGGTCCGACCATTGCCAAAGATGTCCGAAGAACCCTCCAAACACTTAACAGTATTTTCTTTGGAAACAGTAAACATTAAGAAATTGGCCAATTTAACAGCAAACACTAAAAATTATGGGCAAAGTAACACCAAACATTAAACCCCATTCAGACCCTCATGAAGGCTTTTAAAAGGAAAAGATCCCGCAAGGTGAAGATCAAAAGCAAAATTATCAGCTTTAGTTCTTGTTATCTGAGCGCTACATCCTTTCCACTTATAGCCATCTTGCAAAGCAGGCATCGCCTCGTCAAGAGACACCATGTAGTAATAAAGTTCGCCACATAATCTTCAACGACTCAGTCTTTGCACATAAAAGTTTACTATTTGCCATCAATCTTTACTATTACCGACACCCTCAAAGGAGTTCTATTTCCACATTTATTACGAAATAATAGCAATGGCGGTTATAAAAATGTGCGACAAGTGCGACAAGTGTTATAATATATTAATTAGCAGTTACAGGGACTAGTAAGAAGTGAAGTGTGTTGGAGTGTTAACAATTTGAAGTCAATTGGTAGACAAATATAACGTCACCAAAGTAGATTTAGATTCAGTGAAAATGATATGAGGACGAGATGAATCAGGGAGATGAATTTGAGGGTCCCTAATATATAGGTTTACGGGGATCCGGGATTTGCTTTATTTGATGGCCGGGATTAGGGAAGAAAAGGAAAAACGGGGGCGAGATTCGGAATTGAAAGTGTGCACGGGACAAGGGATGTCAATTAACATGACTATCGGGATTACAAGATTGAGCGAAAACTTGGTTCGGGATGACGTAATTGAAGAACGGTATTAGGAACCCCAGGATTTGTCAGTCACATTCTTTTATTTCCCAGGCGAAAGTAGCATAGTAACTTCAATGCTTCCACGTTGTTCCGTGTTTTGTACCTGATCTAAATTGCCAAAAATCGAGTTTCTTTCTAGCTGTTAAATTGTTCGTGTCTGGGATTCCCTCGGGTTGAGTTTAGGTTGTGCTCTCCTTTCGTCGAACGCTAGCCTGTTCCAGGCGTTCAGATAGTAGAACGCAACAAAGTGCAACAGTACAAGGTGATACGAATGTTATTACAACGAGCGACAGGTATTTGTTAAAAGGTAAGAAAATTTTACACTAAAGTTTGATAAGTTCCTGACGAAGTGACACGGTTTTCACAATGTGCAAAAGAAAAGACACTGAATAATTAATTCCAATATCTGTGTTATTGTGGCTACCACATAATGGTATAATAATGATGATGATTATAACCGTTCAACTTGCTGTTTCATTTGTGGTTAAATAGAAAAACACACGAGCAGCTGCTTGCACTGACACTTACGATCGTTTGTATTTTCATTTGTTTGTTTGTTTTTTCTTGAAACTTTTCTTTTCAATTTTGGACTTGACAATCTGCTTACAAAGAGGACAGAGTTTAAGTCATTAAAAAGAAAACAAATTGTCAGTTGTGTCACTCGAAGGTTGCTTAGGATATTGCTTTGGTCTTTAGTATTTTCTTCCTTATCTAAAGTTATCAAATCTCAAATTTACCATTCCAATAACCCTTCGCGTCACATTACAAAACGAGATTATGGCATCTTTTGGGGATTTATCGTTGTATTTTTTCTGACACGATCCTGCTCATTATGAAGGGAAGTACCCCCGGACGCGACCAACTAATCAGCAGAAACCTTATTTATATAAGGCCCGTATTAGGGCTTTATCGCTTTCCTAGCCGGGGAAGGGGGGGTGGGTAATTATGTGGAGAAGAAACTCTATCGTAACGTAAGCCAGCAAATGGGCTTAGAATAAACCACCTGCAATTGTGGCTCTCGGGTTCAAAGTCGAGCAAAACAGTTGGGCAGAGGAAAAAATTCCCTTACCTGATGTCTTCCGCTGAACTTCACGCCTTTCCCCCTCATCACAGAGTCTTCGATTGTCACAAGTTATCACATCAAATTGCTGTTTTATTTGCGGTTAAATAGAAAAACACCAGCGCAGCTGGTTGCAGTGACACTAAGATCGCTTTTTATTTACATTTGTTTGTTTTTTCTGGAAACTTTTCTTTTCAATTTTTGACTTGACAAACTGCTTACAAAGAAGGCAGAGTTGAAGTTACAGTGCAGTGGAACTTCCGACCGCTTGTGGCCGCTTCATGGACCATGGCCGCTCAATAGAGATTTGCTCCCTAGAAGACACTTGGTATGGCGTGATTCTGTGCCTGTTGAGAGTTCTAGGGCAGGGCTTAAATCAGAGTGCGCGGATATCTTTTATCAGAGCTTTCTCTGGTTGTTACGCCATACTGACGAGCCCCCAAAAGGGCGAAACAGCTGTCTATGGCTAAAATCCCGCTCTGTTTTGAGTTCTTTCGGTGTGGTGTTGATGTCTTGCAGAGTTAATTTTCATGTAGTACGATCAGCATTGCAGTTTTCTCCTTGCAAAATTTAATATGTCTAGTTGCATCAAAAGCAGTTCCTAACTCTGATCCGGCCATATTGATCAAGTGTATGCAATTTTCTTTTGTTTTTGCTTTTGTTTGAGATTAATTAAAGAAAACTTGCCACAGATAGCAAGTCAGTGAATGTAGAATAAAAGGTCGCTCTCTGATCCGGCCGTATTGATCAAGTGTATGCAATTTTTTTTGTTCTTGGTTTTGTTTGAGATTAATTAAAGAAAAACTTGCCACAGATCTGAGCAAGTCAGTGAATGTAGAATAAAAGGTCGCTAGTTAGTTATTCATATTCTAGCATTATAGCGCCCCCCCCCCCCTGCTATGCAGAAAATCAAAGGGACATAATTCCCGGGGGGAACCTCAAGGAAATTTTGTACGGGGAGGCTCTATCTGACCGCCCAGAGGACGAACCCCGTTACCAAGTTTTATATTATATCGTTTTTTACAGGAAAGATAACTCTTTCACATACCAAGTTCGGAAATTTGCATCCATTTTAACTACTGTACATACAAAGTCTGTACATTGTGAAGAAATCGCAAACCAGAACGTTTTCTCGAATTCTTCAAAGCCATAACATGTATCTGTAAGCTTAATTAATTCTTTGGGCATTTTTGCAGATCGATATGCCAGACTTTCCTACCCTTTCATATACTTCAACAAATGAAATCCCTACCCTTTTATATACCTGATGCCTTAAAAAGGTACCCCTTTCGGGTGTGCCCTACCCGTTTAATTACGCTATTATGAAAAGTACCCCAGCGGGGTATAATTTCGCAGCTGAAACGGGAGAATAACCTTTTATTTAAAAGCGCCAGTGGGTGGTAAGACTTAGGTTCTAAATTGTTGCTCTCTTTATTAAGACACTACATCAAAATACGGACGTTTTTTTCTGTCGGTTAAAGCCTTTTATCGTGGTTCTTTTTCCTTTTTTTGAAGATAAATAATAGAACGTAATGCCCATTAACCTCTTGAAAACCAGCCATGGCTTTTAATTGCGCTCTGGGCATTGCCGTTTGAGCTGAGATAATTTGTCCAATGTTTTAAGTTTTTAGTTGCCGCCGGCCCTTAATTATTACAGTTCCTTTGTCTCCAGAGGACTAAACAACTATTAATTAAAGACACAAGCCAAGCGATCAGTTTTGTCACAAAACAAATTCCTGTCCACTATTTCAAATAATTAGGAACATTAGTGGTCAGGAATAAGTGTTACCCGTAGTTAAGAAAATCTTATAAAAGCGTCCGTTCACAGTAAAATTCATCACTCTTCCACAATACCCATCACGCCAACCTGAGCTGATATCCGTTGCCAGTTTATCGCTATGAACAAGTTCTCGACATCTCTGGTTTACTTTTGTGTTATTTTTTCAGCCATTTTGCTGTTGGGCAGCTATCAAAATGTAGAAGCATTCGCTGTGCAAAATGGTCGCCGAGAAATCAAGGATTCAATGGTAAAAGATTTAGTTGCTTTTTTTATGGTGTTGCGTTTTAAAACTTACTTTGGGGATGTTATGGCTCATGTTATGGCTCTTTAGTGTCTTTATTTTTCCAAAGACAAAAATTTTCCGATTAAATTGTTACACACTTTCTGTACAACATTTTTTTCCTTTTTCTACTATGCTAATCAGTTCATTAGTCGGCCTTATAGCGTAAAGGCGAAGAGGCTTCTGGTCTGTGTCCGTTATTAAGCATGATGGTATACTTAAGGAGACGTTTGTCTAACAAATTATTATAGCCAAAAGGAGGGAAAAAACGCCGGTACTCACGCACAAAACTAAAGATTGGCGTTGGAATTAAAAGGTTAATTTCAATCAGAAGCATATCTGTTTTAATTCATAACGATGAAGTAAACATGGACAAGTAATTTTGTCTTCGGCAGCACTTTTTTGTTAAAAAAAATACATCTGTTTTTTACTCTTTGTGTTGCAGTTTCTTCGTTCCAGAAGAGATATTTGTGCGGCTGCAAGGTCATTGAATTGTCAAGAAGATGATTAAACCGTGTACTAAAAACGAAGAAAAATGCGCTGTGTTGGAACAAATGACGCCATTTGAACTGAAAAGCTGAATTTTCAAGTAGTTAACAAGAAGCTGTTTAATAATACATTTAAACATTAATTAGGCTTTTCCCAACTAAATAAAACACTGGTCAGTAGAATTTAACGCCTCGTGTTATGTAATTTTTTTACCATTCACGCCCTTCTTGGAAGTGAATAAAAGCCCAGCATTAAATGTTGGCTATTTCCAACTGAGACTGAAAAGCGCTTTTTTAGCGAACGAAAGGGAAAACTTTGCTGGCCTCAGTTTTTAAATTCATTGTTACATGTACTTCTTTAGCATATCGGCTTAGGCACTGACCGTTAGAAGTTAAAAGAGATAATTAAACGTTGTCATCCACGAAACGTTTAGCTGGGGAAAAGTCGGATCATATTTGAAGAAATATTCGTTAAGAAAAACATTTTATTTTGAGTGGGAAATTAGCGCTTTAAAAACTACTAACGGACATATACATGTAGTTGAATCAGCTTCAAATTTACTGACGAGTTATATCTCCTATTCTAAAATGTGGTTTTTCAATATCAGGTGTTCATATATAAATGCTTGATTGGAGTTTATGGGAAACAATGTTAATGAGGCAAAAATTCTTGAACAAAAATCCGCTAAATGTCAACATATTAGGAAAAAAATAAATATAAAAAACTGCCATAAATTATCATCTCCATACAGCTATGGATTTTGTTTGCTGTTCTTTCAGTAGGCGATGAATATATGCATCAAAATCGGAAGCTAGAGATTAATCATACTAGCTGGTAAAATTTTTGAGAAAACGAAAAAGATGTAAGGTCATTTAACCGCGGAAGGACTAGCTCAGTCGGTAGAGCACTTAAATGCAGAAGGTACTGCCTCTGCCCTACAAATGGCTAAGTCTTCGCGTGGCTCGAATTATCACGTAAAAATAGGCCTCCTATCCCCATTAGATGCCATAAAGAACAGTGTCCTCAATAATTAGAACTCTCTGGTCAAAGTACATTGAGACTCAAACAATTTTTTTTGTTTTGTTATTGTTTTGTTTTGTTGCTTTTTGGTTCTAGCTAGGATAGAGTTTAGAAAGTTACCCTGTCTTTTGGAGCACGAAAATAACCTCTGGGAAGTGCACGAAATATAAAGAGGTTTATATGAACGATCGTAATCTCAGCTTCTATACTGCAACTTTTGTTAGTTGTTTTAAAGCGTAGTTTGAATCCTCTGAATTGAAAGCGGAACATTGCAATTATTTAAGCGGATGTTTATAAAATTCAAATTTCACACAGTACATTAACCTTGAAATGAACTCCAATTTACATTTAAATGACTTGCATTGGCTTTCCAACAATAGAATGATAGCATATGCACCCATCACGAAACCGAAATTGATAGTCAGCCCGTGTGTACAATTAATTTACGAGCTGCCGCCGAAAAAATTGCGATAATTTCAACGTAGAAAACACCCTCAATGATATCAGGCTTATCAATCATCGAAAAATGAAAATGATAAAGAAGCTTGAGACTAGACAAGCAAAAACTTAAGATACCTTACTGCAACCGAGATATTTTAAAATCGTTTTTTCTTTAGTTCGCTTGTTGAAGGAACTTTGAGCTTTAAAAATTGTTCTTCACGAAATGGCAGAAATGGGAAAATAAAGATACGGAATATAAATTCTTAGTTATTACCTTTGAAATGGCGTCATGATGACATCGAAACGTCTTTTTTTATTATTATTATTTTTTTCACTAGTTTGTATTCGTTTCTGTTTGAAGAGTGGAAAAAACGAACTAAAAAAATAAAACAAAAAAATAAGTTTAAGAAAAGACTAAAGATGGCGCTATTTAGACGAGAGGAGTTATAAAAGCATGTACGAGAATTCATTCGGTATAGTTTCCTTCGCCATTTTTGCAGGCTAATTAAAACGAATGTTTGCTCTTGACTCTAACAGCTTATTTGTTGGCGTGGCCCTGAGACAGCGGCAACTGAGACGGAAAGTTAATAAATGGCTTTTGGCGGAACTCGATTATCCTGATCAGCCTTTGTAACAGTTATAAGTAATTAAACAAAACTGAGGATAATAAAAACGGCACCTTAGGGATAATAATCATTGCCTTTTTAACTATTATTTCTTGACGCCAAACATTAACCGTGTTAAGAATATACCATATGTATTTAAAATGTTAAGATATCCACTCCCCCTAGCCTCGGGGTGTAAACATAAGGACATGAATAAGCGGGATAATCCTTATCTTTTCTACCTTGGGACGAGCGCGAGAAAAATAAGAAGCGATTTTCAAAATCTGCCGTTCAAGCGCACAAATAAAAACCATATGGTGCGAATGTGATTTGTTTCGTGACTGCCAAGTACTGTAAACTGTTTCGACATGATTTTCTTAGCAGCGGTTTGATTTCATGAGGCTCGGTCTATAAAAAGGGAGAATATTCGGAATCAGCAGGGGTTTGCTGACATGTGTTTTGGCGAAGGGTTGTTCCTCGAAAGAGTAATCCGAATGTTTTATGGAGCGTATACACATGCTTCCCCTAGACAACACACTAAATCTCCACTCCAGAACTATAAGAGGAATGGGTACTAGCTTCTGGCGCAGCGGTTTCTGGGATCGCTTGGCTGGACAAGCCATACTTATGATTGGTTAATGGTCGCCTTGGATACCATTGACCAATCATAACTAACACTTGTCCAATCAAACGATCCCAGAATTCACTGCACCGAAAGCTTGTACCCATTCCCCTTATAGTCTCAGGAGTAGGGGATATTTTACGCGCCAAGAATCAGTGAACCAGAACTCAAACACTTTATTGTCTGCAATGGACAAATGCACGATGACGTCATTTTACTACAAATACTAGAATCCTTCAGTTTGTTGTTTTCTTGTGCAAATTAGGGCTATTGTCTTTTAGACCTCAGCGGGATGGAAAAATTTAAATAAGAAGGCCAAAACGAAATGAATTCTGGTAGTTGTAGTCAAACGTCGTCATCGTGAAAATGGCCTATGGACAATGAAAGCGGCAGGAAATAAAACTTGAATGGATACGTTTCGGCTCAGTGATTTCAAGTCACAGGGGAATTAGCGCTTATTCCTTTGACACCAACCAATAAACACTTTTCGTAGTTTTTAGTCAACTAATCCAAAACCTAACATTCATCGACTAAAAAAATAACTGAATAACAAGTCTAACCGGTTAAGCCACCTAGAAATGACACTTGACGTTATCTGAATGAGATTCTCCCGGCGGTTTACTCAATATTGACGAGATAAAGACAAAAGGCTATGACTTCATAGCCGTTAATGTATTCCTGCGCAAAAAAGGAGCAATGGATCCCAACTTTACTACTATGGCAAAATAACAAACTTTCGTGACAAATATACTTTTAGGGAATATAATATATTTAACAAGTTTCTTTAACTTCTTTCAATGACTATCGACATTAATAACGGCTTTTTGACGCATTCATAAAATTTCAGTCGCTTAAAGTTTATTTCATACTGACAAAAAACTTCAAAAGATGAGAAGTACTATGTACAAGAATCCATTCTCTTTGTCTTTACACTAAGATTATTTTAATAATTTAATCCGATTTAATAGTTGTTAGGAAAACCACCAACAACAAGAACAAGCCAAAAGGAAAAGAAAGAACTTGTATGTCCAACGGGAAAAACAAACTTTCCTTAGTTGCGCTTCAAAAATGGGTTTCGTAATAAGTCGATTAAAGTATGTTGGACGTGTCTCATCTTCCAACAACAGATCAGCGCACTAAGGGATGAATTCAGAGACACCAGTGTCAGAGTATAAAGCTTTAAATGCCCCATAACAGGGAAGACAATAACAAATAAAAAGCAAATGTTTGGTAGGTAGCAAATCATCAAAACAAGGCAAACGTAAACTGCCATTATAGCAAATTTCATCAGTCTTTTAATGTTAACAGTTTGACCGTTCTGTGATGCTTGCTGGAGCTGCAGCACTTGAAGTTCGTTTACATGGCTTCGCACGGACATATAAATTTTGAAGCCTTAGTCAGTCTGATTGTTCCTTAGCCTACAGCGATAATTCATTTTTAGTGAAGATCGACTTCAATTAAACATGGTCTATAGTGTTTACAACGTGACTGTTTAAAGGTTGTTAGGTACACAGAGTAAAAGGATTACAAGAAGAAGAAACTCAAGTCATGTTTCTCGTGATGAGGGGGTCACTGCTGTGTGTCAAACGTGCTTAGAGAGGCTCATCATAACGAAAAGAAGTTATAATGCCTTTTTGTAATTGAAAAGCTTGCCTAGAACATTTAAAAACTGAATGATGACAAAGTTAAGTGAGCTTTTAAACCATTTTCTAAACGAACAAGAGATTGGCCAACCGATTGAAAAAATGCTCATATCATGGGAGAGCCACACCTTGAAATGTATTTGGTAATTTTACAATTCAATTCCGTAAAATAGATAATTTGTCTATAATCAAATATGCTGGAAGTACACGAAGATTTAAAGTAAGAGTCCTTGAATCGCGTGGTTAAGTATCGTGAATCGTGTCGTGGCAATGGCTAAAAGATATTTACGTCGTCGGTCTTCATAGCGCTAACACGTTTGCAGGCTCTTGTCGGCAACTTTTATGATATCACTTCCTTAGTTTCACCTTCCTTCACTTTCCACAAGACTGACAGAAGCAGTTCATTCCTCTGACACCCTATGGAAATGTCCTTCGCCCCTTTTTCCCTCTTGTCTACTCCAGTGGAAGTCCCAGGGCCTTATGTAGAAAAGCATACTCTTTTGCCGCCTAACAAGCAAGAAACAAACGCAGTTTATGAGAAACACTTCACACCACAAAAGGTAATATGTATCAGAGAGAACTTCAGATGGACATGTTTTATTTGAATTGACCAGACATTTCCTCCTTTTTTAAACTTAAAAAACAAATTTTGCAGATCTCAATAAAAGACCACAATTTGGGGCCGGTTGCTCGAAGCCTGGTTAGCGCTAACCGTTGGTTAAGAGGTATCAAAATGTATAGGTTTCCATGGTATTTAACGCTGGTTAGCACTAACCATGCTTCGAGCAACCCGGGCTAGTAATTTTAAACGTTCTTCTCCGCAGCTGTTATTGCTATGCGTAACTCCATAAAAGGTATTTTACCTGAATCTCGTTACACCCACCAAAAGGCGCGCAGCATTATACGAACAGCAAATCTAAAGGTGCGCGCGAAGTATAGTAAGCAAAATATTTCACTCGACATAGCCACACACAGCCATAATTCACGCAAGATTTTCTGAGCGGTTATCAAGCGAGCGACAAGCAACGTTTCGATTCAGCGGGTCTAATTGAATTTTATGCACAGCCTAATTCAAAGCAAGTTGGAAGTTGCGTCACTGAATTTCACGCAATATTTCAAAAGATAGGGACAAGGGAAAATTTAATGGGTGCAACAAGCCAGGAGCAAAACAGCCCTTTTTCTTTTGAAATTTTAAGCACAACCAACGAAAAGACTTCAGGCGGTACACGCAATGCAAATTTGCAATTGCGCGCAATATTGCGCCATAAGCTGGGGCAAGGATCGTTGTCGTCGCTCGATACGTCATTAGGTGGCCAGTCAGGAGGTTAGTCAGTCAGGCAATCGGTCAGTCAAAAGAAAAGGAAAGTTATTAGAGACCTTTAGCATCAGGTAAACCGCAAACCGCAAACCACAAACCGCAGTTACGCGTTTGCAGTTTCGCGTTGGCGAGATTTCAAACTTTAGCAAGGCGTTCAGTTCAGTTCAGTTCAGTTCATTTTTATTTAGCCAAAATATAATACAATACAAGAATACATGTAGGAATTGTAAGGTTGCAAGGGAGCCCAGAAGAAACCAGAAGGCTTTATGAAGCCTGGGCTCCCCAGTCTAAAAGAAATAAGCAAAATAAAATGAAATTCGCGGAGTGATACGTTAAAAATAGGAACTAAACAGAGACTGAGTTAAGTTATGAATTCAGTAACAACATAGAAAAAAAATTTAACTCTGGATTGGAACAGAATACTTTCCTTTGTTAGTACGGCAGAAAGGAATATAAAATTGATTTGAACTACGCGTTCATTGTTTAGGGCCGCCATGTTGTTTTCATCAAGTCGAAGTGCATCACTTTAGTCGCCCAAAACTCAGCAATAATTCGTTGGTTCGAGATCAAAAATCTAACAACCACATCGCAAACGGATATAAAAAGCTAGTTCATACCTTTAAACGCGAGGCTGAACAATTTTTTGTGGCAAAAAACCTTGCCGTAAATCACTTACCGCTGGAAGCCCTTCCTGCGGTTCAAACGTGAACTGCAAACTGCAAACGTGACCGCAAGGCCGTGGTCACGTGACATTTTGCGGTTTGCGGTTTGCAGTTTCCCATGAAAAACGTGATGCTAAAGGTCCCTATTAAGTAAATCCTTCAGCCTGCAAAGTCAGTCAGCTGGTTGCCAGTCAATCAGTCAAGTCAGTCAGTCGGTCACTCCTTTAGTCGGTCAGTCGGTCAGTCGGCCGATCAATCGCACATTTTGATGTTAATCCCTGCCAGCTGGCATATTCTTAGGATGAAAATAAGATGAGGCATGAATATGCCTGACAACATTCTCTGCCGCTTAAACGAAATATGTTACTGCCTTACAACCGATGAGCTCGTGTACCTGTTCAAACCTTCGATATGTGCCTTCTTCTCCAAAATGTCCAGAATAATAATCCACATTGCACACAACTAACGGCTTCTCCGACTGCTCCTGGCTCGCCAACTGATCTCGGAGACGCGCCACCCACTTAAGAGGCAGCCAATAAGGCACCCGGTCATCATTCATTGACGACCCAACCATCACAGCAGGATAGGGCTGTAAGAACAATGTTCAGCAACTAAGTTATGTGTCAAGTTTAATTCGCCGTCACGAGTTGTTTAACAATTCCTATGACCCTCTGCTTAAATATTAACATTTAAAAATCTGTAATTGTAAATTGTAAATATCTTATTATCCACTCCCCACAGGGCTTTTCAGGGATAATTTACAACACTGGCTGGGGGACTTTGCCAGACTGCTTAAGGTGCAGTTTACAAGCACTGAAGGAATGAGTGATGATGCCCCCATACAAAAGTGTGAAAGTGAGATAGACCACTACACCGGGCACTACGTGCCCTACTCTTTACGAAGAGTGTGTGGGTTCTTTAACGTCCCACAGATTTATTACATGTGCAAGGGCTTGTGAGACGGGGCCTACGGTTTATCGTCCTTATCCGAGAAGACTAGAAAGTCTAACCATTTGCAGATGTTATTACAAAGGCAGCACTTTCTCCTCAGTTATTTAAAGACCCTGAGTGTTGGTCCGGCCGGGGTTTGAACCTACGGCCTCCCGCTCAGCAGACCGGCGCTCTCCCAACTGAGCTAACCGGGCGGCAATATTTGGCAAACAAAGAGTATGCTTTTTGCCTCTCTGACACTGGAGTAGGGTATAAAAATAACGATTTCTCTCCGGAAGAGGGATATATTTTACTTCATTTTTGAACGTGGAACAGGGTTGATTTTCCCCATAATGCCTGATTATTATTAATCAAGCTTCAGTACAAATCTACGCCCCTCTCCTCGATTTTTTCCCTAAGCTCGCGTCAGGAACAGGATTCCAATTGGTCTCTTTGTGTCTGCAATAGGTCTAGAGTCTTGAACACTCAGCGGGACACCCTATAGTAAATTTAAGGTAATACCCCACCTTCAAGGGAGTGCCCCTCTCCCCCCTGTTTAGAAAGCCAAAAAAAAATAAAAGAAATACTAGGGTAAAATCATACCTTGTCTCTTATATTTTGGTATGGGCAGTAGGACTTAATGTAGTGAAAGTCGCTCTCATTAGACCTAAAAAGAGAAAAAAAAAACACAAATAGATAGATTTGATTCCTCGTTTCCCATTTCCTCTTGGACTTGGATATAAAGGTTTCGGTTGCTCGAAAGGTGGTCAACCTTAATCATAGTTAAGTCAAATTCGAAACAAAATTGCCAAAAGAACCAATTTCCGTTTCTGGGAAACGCCCACCTACCCCTGCCCTAAGCCAACAATAACTCTTACTTCATACTACGGGCAAAATGTTGGCTTAGGGGAGGGGTGGGTGGGTAGTTTTCAAGAAACCTAAATTGATTGCAAAACTCTCAAAATATTGAAAAAGAAGTATCGCTTTTTTGACGTACCTCGTGATTAGACAAGAAACAAAAACAACAACAACACACAGACAACAGTTCGCGTTCCCATCATTCTTAACCTCTGAACACTGCGTCGTTTTGAAGTGTAAACAGTTCTTACCCAGGCTCCCCCCACTCTTCATATTCCTGAACAGTTAGCGGAAGAGACGGGTCCAACATGGAAGTCAAAATGTCTAAAAATGGAACCTGCACAAAGCGAAACAACGTTGTTTTATCAAACGGCAATGGTAGTGTCACAGAAGTTTACTATTCCGCGTTGTTACCGAGGCTACACAGTTAAATTATTAATGGCGATGGGGGGTTATTTGAGAGGGAGGGAGCTTATTTAATTTAGAAAAAATAAATAAAGAACTAGAATACAAAGTGGAAAAGCTCAAGTGCAAGAAGGTTGGAGGTCATGCAGCCGAGGATCTGAATCAAATCCGAACTCTCATTTGTTAAATAAACCATCCTGGATCAGTCCACACGAAGGTTTACAGTCGTGATTGATTAATACGGTCTATCATTTATTAGTGAATAATAATTAGGGGGGGAGGGGCTTATTAACTTTCTTCCCCTGAAAATTGGGGGGGGGGGGGAGGCTAAGTCGAGGAAGGGGGCTCATTTGAAAGGGGGGCTTAATAGAGGATTTAAGATAATTAACATTAAACAGATTTCAGATTTTCATTTACGGCTGCCACTTTATGGTCAATCTATACTACTGGTAACATGATCTGGGGGGATCGGGGGTGGGGGTGTCCTGATGCGAAAATCCCTCATTCCCGATCCCACATTCCCTGTTGGTCCTTATCCCACAATCCCGCTCCTATACTATACCCTACCTTCAGAATAACTGCCTTAAAAAGTCCCGGCGATCTATTGCAAACAGCTCCAACAATCAATCCCCCAGCGCTTGTACCACTTGCAGCTGTTAAATCAGGGGTGGAATATCCCAAACGATGAAGGGCTTGTGTACAAGCCTCAAAATCCTTCGGAAATAAAAGTACGAGTAAACAAATCATTTCGTAGTGTCATTAGATGAAGATGCCCCATTCGATAAAACTCCGACTCTCGCCTGCTATAAACCATACAGATCATACTGCCTCAAACTTTAACGACCGGTCAACGGCCAAGATAAATGTTACAGGTCAAAATTAAATTCAGGTTAAAATTTTTAAACCAAAGGTTGATACACCGAGGGAAGAACGTCTAATCGTAAGACGGTTAGGTACAAGAATGTGCTGCCTTTGCTTCATATCTGCAAATGGCTGGACATTCTTGGATACCGTATTTCTCCTATTATTTGACTCGTGTAGGACGTAGAAGAACCACAAGGGCCATAACAATCTCTAGCCTGCGTAGAAAGGGTTTCTGTTTGGTTTCGGAGCAAGGAAAGACCGAGCAAACGCAGCCGTACCTCAAAACTTTTATGTTTATTCTGCAGTTTCCCTTCTAAGTACCATTCTCGACCAAGTTCGCCGCCACCTCTGAACAAAACAGGACATTTAAAGACGTTTCATACCATAATACAAACAAGCAATCATTAGGGAGCGTGCGAATGTCAATTAAGTTTAGAAACGTTTTTATTTTACTGAAACTGAATAATTTTTCTTCAATTTTTAACACCATCTCAAGGATCAAAACTTGGAAGTTATAGATCATTATGAAAAAAACTGCATATTATCACCTGACATGGCAGTAGGCAAGACACCAACCACGCTTTAACAGACTGAGCCTTTCCACTTCAAAACCCATGTGCACGTTAATTCCATACGAGCCTATGAGAAAAAGGCAAGGACTATCATCTTCTTTTTATGACAATCAAATATTATCTATATGAGATGATCTTAACTGTAGTTTATCACGTATTGTGAACTTTTTTTGACAGAAGCACTAACGTTTGTCTGTGATTTATCGTGTATTATTCATATTGGAATGGGAGAAAATAAACGAAAAGAAATGAAATGATGAAAGAAAACGCCCATCAAAGGCGAAAGCTGAAAAAGAGCTCTACCACTTCAGCTATGTAAGCCAAGCGAGAGCTGGTCATTTAGTAGGTTGGTTATAAACCCTTAAAAAGATAACGATGAAATAATCAACATACGAAATTCATATAAAAGCGCTGCAGGATGAATAATTAAATGTAAAGAAGACCTTCAGAGTTTTTTCAGCACAAGCGGAGGTGAACACAATTCCGTCATACCATAGACATGAAGCAGCAACGGGTTTCTCCCATCAGTTTTAAGATCTTTGTGGTGAAATAAAGTGACGGGAATGCAGGTTCCATCCTGGTTACAGAAAAAAAAAATGCGTGTATGTTTTAGCGAGGTGACTGTTATTACCGCCTTCTTGTGGGAAAGTTTTGCTTGACACATTCTTCCTCAACAAAAAACAAACACGGCAAACAAACCAAAACAAAAACTTTTACTTGTACTTGTGTATTCCTCGTCAAGTTGCCCCCTTTACATTTACTTGATTGTGTAACTAAATGCGGCTCGAGAGAGAATTAGAGTTTGCTTTGTCCTTAAATGTACTGTAACAGTATAAGAAAAAAAAAACGAACAAACAAACAAAATGAAACTCATATCAGAAGTATGACCGCCTTACCTTACTTTGAATTTCATGTCTAGTGCAGCAAAAATCAGAACTGTCAAAAGAAGGCTTCTTAGTAAAAGCGTGTTTTTCAGCCTGAGGAAAGTTGTAAAATCATGCTGTAAGATTGCAGTTTGAAAGTCAAAAATAACAATCACTTTATATTTTAGTACAGTAGGTTAAATTTGGGGTTTTACCAAATTATAGCATGCCACTATCCTAAAAACAGAAAAAAAGTCCAAATAACAGTAAAAGTCGAAATCACTTTGGTTCAACTTTTATTTCCCTTTGTTCAATCCAATGAAAAAAAAATTGATTTAAGGATAAATTGAACAACAGCATCGACACCCCTTTTTGATAGTCAGTGCAAAGAAACTACTTTCATTTTTGGCTGTGGAAAACGAGTGAAAAGCACTCTTCCTGACATCTACGTCCTTTTACACGCACACGTAGACATTTTAAAGTATTAGTGAATTCGACGTATACAACATACTATTGATTTTGTATCCATGTTGTACTCTAGAACACGGGAAGGTGATATTGGTGACGAAACTGTCACACGAACTTTGTTGTGATCAAACATCTGGCGAAAAAAAAACAACAAAGAACTTTTGCATCAGTCAAAAGACATCTTCTGTCGGCAATTGCCCAATTCGTTATTGTATTTAACACAAGAACACTTAAAGTTACGTTACCAGATTAGATCCAGCCTCTAAAACACAAACATCTTCAGGGAGCTGCAAAATAAAATTCATTAACAAGAAACGTTCGTGTAAGAACAGGCTCACTGGATTAGGCTTATGATGAGAAAGCCACTCAAATGGAACATGCTTAATTACTTGCTTAGGCCGGGAATCATCCCGAGCAATCCTAAAAAAACCTTTCCACACGATCTGATCAGCGAGCATAGCATCTCTTATCGTTCTGGTATTATCCAAGAGGGTGCTATTCTCGATCTCCATAATTCTTCACATGACACTCAGCCTCATTTAATAATTTTCTATTATTGCTATACAGGAAATGAATCAAAGGTAAAAGAAAAACTGCATTGAAGGTTGTAGCCTTACTTGTACAACATACTGATCCTGGGGTGTGTCCATCGGTACAACACGAATCTGAGGAACAGTTCTGTGTCGCTCGTAAACAACGCAGTAGTTTTTAAATATGTCCATGTCATCAAAATATATCTGAAAAGATGAGCAATTTGCAGCTTAATTAAAACTCAAAACAAAACAACACCACACAAAAAAACAAACAAGCAAACAAACAAACAAAATAACCTTTGCACATCTGAACAGATAACCTATTGTACATTCATACCGTCAACGACATCTCAGACAAACGCCCAAAAGTCCAAAAACTTTTCATGCAACGATTCTACTCTGAGCGAGTTAAGTTCGTGATTGGTTGGACATGTGTCAGATCAAGTTCGTCTGACTGAGTTTTGACCGACAAAAGCGTTCTATCCGTCCGTTTCAGACTGATAGAGCGTATGCAAGAAAAATAACACGATCATACTATCACGACGTCCGACGGAAGAAGGACATGGTCTTCCCGAAAACAACAAAACCAGATCAAACCCGACACAATAACGGTAGGAATTTAACCCAGTGTTCTGCAGTGCTTGAAACAAGGATGACAAAATATCGAATGAAATATTGACTGGTTTTCTAGGCATAAACTGGGTTTGCCAATTTCTATATAGGAATTAAGAGAGAAAAATTGTTGTTTCTGGCTACAGAACTTTCATCAAGGTGATTTTACACGGGAGGATTTGCAAAGACAATTTTTTGTTTTTTGTGCAAGTGTTGCAAGGTTGAAACAGTGTTGTAGCCATTTGAAACAATGTCGCTACAATGATACAACCCTGAGTTTCGCTAAAAATCGTTCTCTCCAATCGTCCCGTGTAACATCACCTATATGGTATCCAACGTAACAGCTCTTCATAGAATGATGATGTGAACTGCAGAAATACAAATTTTAAATGAAGATGTGATCGCCGCAGTGGTAATTGCAATTTAAGCAATTGCAAATTAACCCGAAAAAAATTCCGGGACTTCAACGGGATTCGAACCCATGGCCTCTGCCTTAGGTGACGTGAACTGCGGAAATACAAATTGTAAAAGAAGATATGATCGTCGTCGCAGCTCTTCATAGCTTTGCCCACTCACTTCTTGTTTATCTTCAATAAAAGTTTTCCAGTTTTCTTTTCTAGGATCTTCTTCAGGCACTGTCACTATCTAGTTGTAAGAGAAAAAAG